CATGCAGCGAGGCTAACTGTATGCAGCGAGGCTACCTGCATGCAGCGAGGCTAACTGTATGCAGCGAGGCTACCTGCATGCAGCGAGGCTAACTGCATGTAGCGAGGCTAACTGCATGCAGTCAGCATGCAGCGAGGCTAACTGCATGCAGCGAGGCTAAGTGCATGCAGTCAGCATGCAGCGAGGCTAACTGCATGCAGCGAGGCTAAGACTTTATCCTGCTTTCCCTGCCTCCTGTTTCAAAGGTCAGGATCTGAGCCAGCGTGGATAAAGACAGCTAGGACTGATTTAAAGCACTTTGTAGAAAAAATAATGAACAATCTGGGATTCACATGGAAAATAATAGAATATAGTCTACTTTTTCTACATGTTTGTTCATTTGCATAGTTGCTCTTAAATAAACATATTCTCAGAAAATAAATAGTTTTTATATATTAAATATAAAGCTGACTAATAGCTTCTCCATTATTAAACTGGTTCATTATTTTCTTTAGGTTTGTCACCCAATATTGGACCAGGGAAAACACAGATTTACCTTAACAGCCTCAGAAGGGAAAGATTTATGGAGATAAAGTAAACCTGGACATGAAATTATGTTTTGTTTTTATAAAGACTTTTTATAATGTTTATTGTTGTTGGCATTCATATAAATATACTGGTGTGATAAATTAGTATAGGTTTGATTGGTTTTTGCTATACGCCGATTTTGAATTTATAGCGCCCCCTGGAGTAAACTCCACCTGCCGCCCCTGACAGAAACCTATTCCTCAGTCTAATAATGGATTATTTAATCTAATTTAAACCTTTAAAGCTTGATTCTTTTGCAGTGACTCGTGTTCAATTTAGAAACGCTTTTTAAACCTTATTGAAAACTAAAACAGCCAAATGTTCTGATAAAAATGTATTATTTGTGAGTTTAATTAAATCCGTTAATTAAAACAGAAACGGTCAAAATGATCGTTTCCTCATAAATGTGTCCGATCCTTCGTCCTTCGGCAGGTTATCCGATCCTCTGATTTAAACCTCATCATTACGAAGTCCAGATGTGTTTTCACTCTTTAAAGTCTTTTTACCGAAATCGGACCTTCCTGCCGCCCGTCCCCCACCTGTTGCTTTAATCTCTGTGTAAAAACCCTGAACCCATCTAAAAATGTTGGCTTTTTATTTACTGTACGCAGAAAATCATCATAATTAAAAGAAATTAAGGTGTGATTCATTCTGAGTGAATTAATCCATTTTATGAGTTCCTCTCAGTGAGATAAATAAATTAAAATAATATGTTTTTTTTTTTTTTTTTTTTTTTAACCAAGAATACTACGAAAGCTCCACAATTTTTTTTTTTATATATATATATATTTATTTTATTTTCCATTCATTGATTTTCTTTAAAAGGGGTCCTGCTATGCGTTCTTAATACTTTTTAACTGTAAATATCTAAATATTTGGTCAAAATGCAACATAAATAACATTTATCATCATTTTCCCACCAGGCTGTGTGTCTCTGGTTGTAGCATATTCTAACCACCAGATGGTGCTGTGGTTCTAGGATTAAGAACAAGCAGGTTCAACAGGAAGGTTGTCTCTGGTCTCTAACCCTTTATAGGGCAAGTTAGCCTCACAAATGGAGTATGAAAACCTTTTTTTTATGGTGTGCAGGAGGTCAAACAAAAAAAATCATATTTTCCAATGCTGTAAACATTTGTATAAGAAATAAATGTAAACAATGATTTGCGTCATAGCCGTAGAGATCAGTGGTTACATCTTGCAACCACACTGACATCCGTTTTTGCCGTTAAAATATCCATATTTTTTGAATGTTACAAAGTTAATAAGGTCTTGTTCTGGATTCCAATAAAAGTATTGGCTTGAAATTTGATTATTTCACTGGGTGAGAACTGTCAGAACTGAAAACGGTGAATATTCTGGATGAATGTCAGGATTTTAGATGATTCTTTAACAAAGGATTAATTATCCGTTTCTCCAGGAGACTTAAGCTCAGAACTTTCTCGGCTACACCTGAAGGTGAAACCGGATCATAAACCTGAAGAACGGACCTGCAGCTCCGCCTCAGCCAGCTGTTTCTCCCTCTTCTCCAGATCAGACAGAGTCTTCTGAAGCTTCTCCTCCAGCAGGTTGAACTCCAGCTCCTGCAGATACACAGAGGACGGGTTAGGATGGGTCAGGATGGGTCAGGGCGGGTCAGGATAGGTCAGGATGGGTAAGGACGGGTAAGAACGAGTCAGGACGGGTCAGGATGGGTAAGGACGAGTCAGGACGGGTCAGGATGGGTCAGGATGGG